GGTTCCACCTTCAGTCAGATGGAAAGAGGTAGTGATGAGATGGAGTCCCGAGACTGATGGGATATTAGCAGGATGATGAGATTAGGGCATGGTGGAGAAGTCCTAGATGGCCCAAACTAGTGCAGCCAGGTGAGAAATGAGGAGTAAGTGCATCAGTGGGAACTCAAGAACTATGGTTTTAAGTAAATATGTATACAAGGGTACTTTGAACCTGGATCTTCTTCTCTGGGAGACCCACCCTATGAGTGTTACAAATGTGAAGTCTTATATTCAAAGCTAAAAAAAAAAAAAACAATTCACAAATATAGGATGAGGGAGTCATAGCTGGATAGTTGTTTATTTGAAAAAAAAAAATCTGAACAAAAAAAAAAGGGGGCAGCTAGGTGGCGCAGTGGATAGAGCACCAGCCCTGAAGTCAGGAGGACCTGAGTTCAAATCTGACCTCAGACCAAACACCTGACACACTTAGTAGCTGTGTGACCCTGGACAAGTCACTTAACCCCAATTGCCTAAAAAAAAAATCTGGTGATTTTCATGGACTATAAGATCAAAAATTAGTGACAGCCAAAAACACTGATGTGATCTCAGAGCCTGGATTGAGAGGCATCGTGCCTATATTTCTCTGATGGTGATGGGTCCTGGATATCTGTGCAATGTCAAGAGAGAAAGGAGGAAGCTGCAAAGCACCCTGAGGGAGAGAGAGGCAGGTCAAACCCCACTACCATTGTGATCATCATCTCTCTCACACCCTGATGGAGATACCTTAGGACCCTGAAGCCAAGATCCTTGGAAGGATCACTGTTTCCAGCCCAGGGCCCTCAGCCTTTCCTGGGAAGCAACCCCTGTGAAGATGCAGCCTGAGTGGACATAGGCTTGCAGATCCAGACCTAGAAGAGAAAGTTCCTTTCTTCAATATCCTTGGCCCAATCAAATGGTTCTACAATAGAAACTGATATGATTTTGCCAGAGGAATCAGGACATTAAACAGGCAGTATGACCATCTGCTTGGCCACTCTACCCTATGGACCATCTCACTTGTAGCTAAAACCTTCCCTATGTGTTGCTGCCAATAGAATAAGAGCTCCCTTACCTACCTGTGTACTGAGGGCCTGGCTTACTTTTCTACTTATATCCTCAGCTATTAGCACAATACTTTGTCCATAGTAAGCACTTACTAAATGCTTTATTTAATCATTCATTCATTCATGGAATACCACAGTCTCCAAAGTATTGAAATTGAGAATCACTCAAAGGGCAACAGAGAGGCATATGGGGGATGTGAATGGGCTGAAATACATCCCAAGTATGGAATTATGCTAGAGAGATAGTGAAAAGGACCTCATCACAGAAATGTATGACTGGAAAAAGAAAAAAAAATGAGTTGCATCATTAGGGAATGATTGAACAACACTTCCAATTGGGCCAGAATTAGATTAAAATGTAATTGGGTAATATTTAACAAAATAATTAAAAATACAAAAGAACATAATGTTAATTTCCTTATGTACGGTTCAATGGCCTCTGTTTCTACTTTTGATGAGTCTGATGCCGCTGGTTTAGCTGAAGAAGAGGGACAATGGTGAGGAATGCCAGCCGGATCTGAAGGACTACCACGGGGATAAAGGATTAGGCATTTTCTGCTTGGTCCTGGAGGGCGGAACCAGGAGCAATGATGGGGATAGTGCAGTGGTTTCACCCTGATGGAACACAATGCTGATGGGTTGTTCCGCGGAAGGTGGCGGGCTCCCCTCAATGAAGGCCTTTCAGCAGAGGCTACTCTTCAGATACAGGCTGGACGTGGCACTGCCCAACCCAGCTGGGCCCTTCTTCCTAGCAGGGACAGCTGAGCACTCTGCACGTGCTCAAAAGGATTAGGCTCCTTGGCCAGTCCCTGTTACCTTCAGCCTACCCTCTCAGCTGCCCGCTCAGGCTGAGAGAGGCCCTCACCCATTACACCCTTTATTCCTACCTCCTCACCTACTGCCTGGCTGACCTTGAGCAAGTCACTTCAAATTACTGGGCCTTAGTTGACTCATAAAATGAAGGGGTGGGATGAGCGAGACGCAGGTTCCTTCTAACTCTGGATCTAGGCTCCTAAGATCTCACTTCTTTTCCTCCTTCCCTCTTTCTCTTTTTCCCTCACCCACACTAGATCCTCTCCATCATTGCCTCCAGAAAGCCCTCATCCTAACCAGCCTCATGCTGGGGACTTGATCTTCAGGGAGCACAGAGATTTCCCAGACCCTGGTGACTGGCCCCCTTCCCTGGGGCCTGCAGGGGGACCCAGAGTCAGGAGGCCCATATGAGGGTAACCAACCATAGCTGCCCTGGGGTAGGGGTGGGGACAGTGCCTAGAGCAATGACCCAAGGAGCCAGACTCCTCTCCCAGGCTTCCAGGGGTACCCTGAATTCCCACAGATCCTAGGCCCTCTCTCTGCTGGCTCCTAGACTCAGGGCTCCCCCTTTCCCCTGCTCTCCATCCTGGCTACACCCAACAGGGCTCTTAGGTACTGCTACCAGGCTCAGGGACACTGGGGACATTGGACAGGAGGAGAAATGTATAGAAAGTGCCAGAAGTCAGAGAGGATGTGTGTGTGTGATCAAAGCAGGAATTGTCTCTTCTATGAGAGTAGGCAAAGGTCTGATTTAGGCAAGAGAACCCCCTCTTTCTCTCTCAGACAAGAGGTTCCCCCCAATTCGAGCTCTCCTGTGTTCTGCCCTGTATGCTCAGACCACGGCTGGAGTGCTGGGTGTACTCCCGAGCACCAGAGTTTAGAGAGGACACTGACAATCTGGAGTGTCCATAGGAGGGCAGCCAAGCTAGAGAAGGGCCTTGAGTCCCCATCATGAGCTGCAAGGGATGGGGAGACGAACATTCCAACCCTCCCCCTCGGGAGAACCCTCATACAGGGCTTTTTCTTAAAGAGCATTACAAACATGCTCTCATCCAAACAGCCTTTTCAAGGCCACAGAGTGTTATTCCCTGGAGACCTGGAGATAATGACCTTCTGACTCATAGACCTCAGAAGGCACTGAGCTTATCCTGGACCTAAATAGGATTCCTTTTCTGCTCCTGCTTGCAGACCTAGATAGAGCAGGAGCTCAGAGCCTCGCTTCCAGGAACTTGCAACTTCCAATATTGTGGATAACTGTATTTCACTATAATTGGCTTCCTTGGTAATCCTGTATATTTCACTTTTTGCATTTAAAAAATATTTTTCTGAGAAGGGGTCAAGAGGCTTCATCAGACTGTCCAAAGGGGTGCAGTACAACATAAAAAAGGTGAAAAGCTTCTGCCCTAAAGGGGAGCTCACTACCTTTTTACGGAGGCAATCAGGGTTAAGTGACTTGCCCAGGGTCACACAGCTAATAAGTGTCTGAGGCCGGATTTGAACCCAGGCCCTGGAAGCTCATTACCTTTTGAGGAAGCCCATTCCATTCCACTAATGGCCAGAACTAACTGGTCAATTTTTCCTTGCTTGTGTATCCCCATAACTTTCCCCATCTAGGCTCTGGTCTTGGTTTTGCTCTCTGGGGCCGAGCAGAGCAAGGCTAATCCTTCTTCCATGTGACAGTCCTTCAGAGGCTTAAAGACCGCAATCTAGCCAGTCTCCTCCCCTCACCCCAGGTCTTCTCTTCTCTAGGATGGCTGAATGTCCCTGGTCCCCTCCTCTCCCATTGTCTGGTCTCCAGTGCCTTCACCATCCTAGCTGACCTCATGCCACTCTTGAGGCTGGACTTAACTGGGGAGCCATTTGAGGGTGGGGAAGGCAAGCGATGGGAGAGGGGAGGTGGGAGACGGTGGAGTCAGGACTGGGGAGCCCCCTGATATCACAAGCCATCTCCCAGCCTCTGACCCCAACCTATTGCTCAGAAAGGACAGCAAATGGTGCCAGCTCCCTGGTAGCCAAACTGTGCCATGGTGGGAGGGGGTGGAGTTAAAAATGAAGGAGAAGGGAAACTCCCCTGACAACCATAGCTGGATAGGCAAAGGAGGGGAAAGGGAATTTATATAGCACCTACTATGTGCCAGGCACTGCGCTAAGTGCTTTTTACAGCTATTATCTCATTGGATCCTCACAACAGCCCTGGGTGGTGGTTGCAATTATTATCCTCATTTTACATTTGAGGGAACTGAAACACTAAGACAGAGGTGAAGTGACTTGCCCAGGGTCACATAGCTAGTCAGTATCTGAGGCTGGATGTGAACTCAGTCCTGACTTCAGGACCAGCGCTCTATCCACTGGGCCACCAGCTGCCTCTGGTGACTGGAAGAGCTGAGGCTCTTGTCTGGGCCCTGTTGGGACTGATGGCGTTGGAGTCAGGCCTTATGGGAGCTGAACTTGGGCCCCTTGGCCAGAGGAGTCTGCTTTGTTCTCTCCCCCGCCTATCATGTAGATAAATTGATTTGTCTGGGCCACTCCCCCCCTTCCAGAGTGCCAACCTCACTCATAGGCACCAAGCTCAGCTCCACTTAGAATTAGCCCGATCTGCTATCAAACAAGGATCTAGGCCCTTGGGTATTGGCTTCCCATTCCCCCTTGGGCGCTGTGACTTCAGCTCCTTCCCCCATGCCTTAGTCTACCTTTTGCCAGGTCCCCATGGGGAATTTATGGACAGAGGTTCTTTCTCCAGTCTGTGGTGCCCTCCCAGACACCCTACCATCCTGAGGAGGAGACTCAGAGTCCCTCATCCATTAGAAAGACAGAGACAGATGGACACACAAGTCAGAGACAGAGACACACAGATCAGAGAATAAAAAACAGGGAGACGTGTCAAGTGGACCAGAATAACAGAGATCAAGACACCCCATCAGCCTCAGTTTTGAGAAAGTAGACAAAGAATCTTCAACTTGGCAGCTGAGATAGAAAGAGACAGAGTTGGAGGCGCACAGAAAACAGACAGACTGGGCAGTGGGCAGCTGGTGCCATGTGGGCAGAACAGGCTCAGGCGACAATGGACTTTATTGAAACTGAGTATTATGAGCCTCTCCCTCCCCCTCTCCTCAGATAACCTAACCCTCCCTCCCCCCACCCTGAGGCTCAAGCCCCATGGCACTGAGACTGGACAGAGAGACCAAGGGTCATGAATTGGCATACAAATGGTGTGTGGGGGGGTGGCAGGAGAAGAGGAGAGTCAGTTAGGCCAGGCTTAGCCGCTGAGACAGAATCCTGCACCTCCTCCCCACTGTGGGCAAGAGAAGAATACCAGCACGAGATTCCTCCCCATCTGCTGGTGAGGTTGAGACCAGGAGGAAATGAGGCTCCTGCTGACAGAAAGTTTTGGGAGCCCATGGGAGGCAGGGGCCTATCACTCCCAGGAAGGGACAAGGAGAAGCTTGGCCACCAGGAAGTGATATTGACCCAGTCAGGTGTCCCAATCCTACAGTCAATGGGAAGATATAGCCCCTAGGTGGTGGGTTTGGGAGGTGGCCTCCCGCATCCTCCATAGACAGGATACTATCCCTGATGCAGGGAAGGGGTGAGTTACCACCCAGCACTCTAGGTGACTTTGTAGAGAATGGGGAGGAGCTTCCAGAATGGCTCCTCCCACCCCCAACCTAATAGCTGGGGGAGTCTAGCTTGGAAGGGGGGCAACGTTAACCCATCTCTGGCACCCAATCCACCAGCCTCCCCTAAATCAAGCAGGGCCCTCACTAGGCAAATGTTGCCATCTGGCTGACTTCTTGAAGCAGGAGGACAGGACATAAGAGACAGTACCTCTCGTGAGGGAAGAGCTGGGGGAGAGGAAGGCTGACCTGAGGAACATCTTGGGGCCTAGTTTCCAATCTCTTCCTCCAGACCTTCAGATCTTAAATTTAAAGCTAGAAGTGACCTTTGAAACCATACTGTCTCCTCATTTCAGAGAATGAAAGGAAGGGGATGGATTGTAGGAGATGAGAAGCCTGGGGCTGCAGCTACAAGAATGTCACATCATCCTGACACTGTCCCCAGTACCAGTGGGCCCCATAGCTGAGGCCAGACCTGGCATCCTCAAGGACCTCCTCTCCGGGAGGCTTCCGCCTAGACCTGGCCCCCGATGATGTGTCAGCCTCTATCCAGGACCTCTCCTCTGAGGGAGGAGCTTTTGCCCAGGTCATGCCAGGCGGAGGATGTTGGGGGCCAGCCTCGGAGAGCCCCTCGTCATCGGGCTCAGCCCCTGAGGCCAGTGTGTCCAGGTAGCTGCCGATGGAGACGCTGTCCAGCCGGTCGACAGCTGCAGCTGTGGTGGTGGTAGGAGTGGGGTCGGGCAGGCTCTCCCAGCTGCCCCGGTGGGAGCAGATTCCTGGGCTGCCCCCTGTCAAGCTGTACTGGCTGCTAGTGAGGCTGCTGCAGCGGCTAGCCAGGGCCCCTCGCTCTTCCAGCAGCCAGCGGACTGCCTCAATGCCTTCGTTCACCGTGACAAGCTGCTGCAAGATCTTCACATCGATGGCTCGAAGGTAAGCCTGGGGAGGGAGGGACAGAGGCTGAGTCCAGGCAGGGTGGACAAGGCCAGCCCCTAAGTCATGAAGGCCATCCCACGGGGCAGGGCAGGAGTCAGAATCACAAGTCTGGAGGTCTGATTTATATGCTAGCTGTGTGACCTTTGGGCAAGTCATTTTCTCCCACACACACACACACACACATACACATACTCCATGACTCAGTTTCCTAGTCTGCAAAATGAGTGGACTAGACCGGATGGTCTGTAAGTTCCCTTCACAGCCTAACATTCCATGAGTCTAAATCACAGAATCACAGCAACTCAGAGATGGAAGGCACTTCTGTGGCCGCAATTCCACTCTAGACATCATCCCCTACAAGTGGTCAGGCCTATTTGGAACTTCCCCCCCCCATGGTGCCTAGGGCCAAGCAGGGCCAAGCTGATCCGTGTTTCATAGGACAGCCCTTTATCTATTTGAAGACAGCTGTCCTAACAAGATCACACAAATGGCTAACACTGGTTCTAGAGGATGGATAATGAAATGGCCTAGACCGCTCATGGCAGACCTGCTGGATGCCCACCATCATGCCTGCTGCTGGGTCAGGTCACTGTGCTGGTCAATAGGTCCAGGGAGTCTAGGGAAGGTTTATTGTCTGTCCATTGGGCTAAGGTTGAATGTGGGGCCAGGGAAAGGCAGAGGGAGGAAGACAGAGATGGGCCTGGGCATCAGAAGTCACAATAACATCACTAGGAGGATTGGGATGTGTGAGGGGCAAAGGCCAGGAGGCTGCAGTTCTCAGAGTGGGATCTCAGCTCTCCAGGTCTGGCCTCGGTACATTTCTGATGACTGGTCAAGGGCTGAGGTAGGATGATGAGCGCTGGTGACTGGAGGGGAAAGGACGAGGTAGCTAAAGTTGAGGAATGAGAAATGAGAGTCTCAGAGGGTTCATCAGCTTGGATATAATGTCCCCGAAGAATGTAGCAAGGAGGGGTAGCTAGGTGGCGCAGTGGATAGAGACCAGCCCTGGAGTCAGGAGGACCTGAGTTCAAATCCAGCCTCAGACTCTTGACACTTACTAGCTGTGTGACCTTGGGCAAGTCACTTAACCCCGTTGCCTAGCAAAAAAGAAAAAAAAAGGGAAAAAAGAATGTAGCAAGTATAGGGTTAAAGAGGAAAACTGACCAAGAGCCAGACTGTCAAGTCAGTGAGAAAGCTGGGGGCAGAACCCAGAGGTCAGCAGAGGGCCACCAAGAATGGGGGGAGGATAAGACAAGAAGATTGGCTAGACTAGGGGTTTGGGTGTGGCCTTTTGACTGAGTCCAAGTTTTACGGAACAAATCTTTTTATTAAGACGATTTGTTCTGTGCAGTTTGGATTCAGTCAAAGGGCCACACTTGAGGACCTAGAGGGCCACATGTGGCCTTGAAGCCGCAGGTTCCCCACCCCTGCGCTAGACCTCTGAAGAGAAAAGGTCAGCCAGGGGCAGCGACAGAGGAGGGGTCCTCAGGCTGCAGCAGGGGCAGGGCGTCTTCCAGGGCGAGCAGAGAGTGAAGGACTGTGGGTTAAAAGCTTCAAGGAGGTCCCGGAAGAGTCTGTCATCCGCCACAGAATGAATGGGCCATGCCCAAGGCAGTCTGGATGGGAGGGGGCAGTGTGGTGTGTCCATTTCTCTAGAGCCCCTAAGACCAGAGTGGGTGCCTGAAATTGGGACTTGCTGCATGTCAGCGGTATGTGGGGGGAATGCCTGAGGGGGTTGGGGCAAGCTGTGCTCCCCTCACAGACAGAGGAAGTCACCTTTGTGGTGCCCCACGGGCCGTGGACGTGACTCTGGGGCTGGCAGCGCTGTTGGGGGGGGCTGAATGAGAGGCCTCCAGTCTCAGGATGAATCCAATTGAACCAACATTTCCCCAGTGGCCCTCCCTGTGCCGCTGGGTGGGAATGTGAGGCTCGTGAGGCCAGCCAGGGCCATCTGCAGGTGGTCAAGCCTGGAGCAATGAGGACAGTACTGAGAACCAGCTTTCAAGCAGCCAGAAGGAGCTTCCTCACAATCCCAAAGGGGAATGGGCTGCCTAAGAAGGTAGTGAGCTTTCCAAGCATCGACAGGGCCAGAAGAGAAGGGATTTTGGTTCAGCGTCAGACTGGACTACAAGCCTTGGGGAGAGGGTATGGGGCTCTGGTCATGAGTCCCCCTAGGGGACCCTACAATAGGTTCTGCCCCAAATGGGGAGCCACCCAGAGAGGCCAGGTAGTGCGAAGGTGAGAGAGAACATTTTGTTGTTATTCAGTCGTGTGTGACCCTATTTGGGCCTTTCTTGGCAAAGATACTGGAATGGTTTAGCCATTTCTTTCTCCAGCTCATTTTACAGATGAGGAGATTGAGGCCAATAGGGTTATTTTAGTGACTTGCCCAGAGTCATGCAGCAGGGAAGTGTCTGAGGCCAGATTTGAACTCACAAAGATGAGTCTTCCTGACTCCACACCTGGTGCTCTATCCATTATACCACTAGCTCTCTGAGAGAGAACACTGTCTCTACAGATTTCTTTTTTTTCCCCCTACAGAATTCTAAGAACCAGGCAACAGCCTCTCAGCCTCAAGGAAGAGACAGCCAGAGCCAGAGAATAGGTATGAATATGCATGTATGGCTGTGGGGGATGGAGGGTAGAGAGTGACATCACTGTCCAGGCCCCGGAAAAAGCAGGGACTCCACACTTCCTGGCTCCCAGGCCCCCCCCACCCCCACAACACTTACTGGAGGCATTTGGGGATTCTCAGAGAATGTGGAAGCATAGAATGTCTGAGCTCAAGGGAACCTTGAGAATCACCAAGTTTGATCCCATCATTTTACAGAGGAGGAAACTGAGACCCTGAGGAGGGAAACGGCTTGCTCAAGGTCACTCAGCTTGTAAGGGGCAGAGCTAGGACACCACACTGACAGCCTGGGCTACAATATACCCAGGGGCTCTGGTTACCAAGGCAACAGCAGCAAGAGTGGGAGGTCTCCTGGAGGGGGAAGGGAGAGAAATGCCTCCCCCCCCCAACCCTGCCACCCTCCCCAGCCCCCCAAGGGGCCACTTCTGCCACAATATTCAGACTGTAGGTCAGGAGGTGATCAGGAAGGGAGGAATAGGCTGGGGCTTGGGCATAAGGAGGATCCTGTGCCAGCCCATCTTGAGTGGGACAGCTGGGGTGGCAGATGGAGGCATGAAGGGCAGAGCCATCCTCCCTTCCCACGCACAGATTTTGGGGAGGTAATAGGGAGCCTTAAAGGGCCAGTGCCCCAAAGTCACAGAGTCTCCAAGCTGGAAGGGACATCATAGAATGTCAGACCATCTAGGCTCCTTAAGACAGCAAAGGAAACAGACCTGGAGAGAAGGGAGTTGCCTATACTCACAGCCAGTAAGGGACAGGGCGGGTATTGGAATGTGGGTCTCCTACTGTCCACTTTACAGCTTACAGAGTCACAGATTCATGGAAAATTGTAGGCCCTAGCCATTCTCCCACCCCAGGGGAAAGGAGAAGATGATTAGATGAGGCTGGATACCAGGATACCCAAATCTCAATGCCAGCTGGGTCCCTGGAAAGCCAGATTGGGGGTTTTAGGAGAAACTAGAGGAGCATGGCTCCCCATTGCACTCCCCACCTCAATTAAGCAGGCTTCCTCATGGGGGATGAAAATTCAAAGGTTGTGAAAAACCCCTTCCCCCAATACTACCTCTTCTGCTCAGGGGGTCTGAACCCTCCATTTCAGCTGACAGAGGGAGAAGTTAGAAAGTGTTAACACTGAAAGGGAAAGGGTCTGGGACATGCCTTTCTAGGCCTCACACTAGCTGAGTGACCTCAGACAAGTTCCTTTTACCACTGGGCCTCAGTTTCCCCATCTGTAAAGTGGAGTAACAACTAGCTACCAGAGGGGTGGAGTGGGGAAGTGCTTTGTAAACTTTTCTATACAAATGGGGGCTATAACTATTATTAACCCCATGACATCATCATAGATTGGAGCCCCACCATTCCATCACAGCAGGTTTTTGAGTTTTAGCTGAAGACAATTCACTTCTCTAGTGGAAAGCCCTGTGATGCTAGAGGCCAGTCTTCTGTGCAGTTGGCCTTGGACAGCAGACCCACAGTCTATTGATTGGAGGCACCGCGGCACTGGGTGCCTCAGGGCCAGCCTGAGAGCTCTCCCTTTTCCCCACATGCCGGGTCAATTCAGTTGAGCTCTCTCAGAAGAGACTCCAAGGTCACCCCCGAGGCCACCAGGAGGCAGTGTAAGCAATCATCAAAATAAGGTTTTCCTTTGCCTTACCACCATTCTCCTTGCCTCCCTCCCAAGTTACAGAGTAGAAAACTGAGACTCATAGAATTGAAGGATTTGCCCAAGGTCACAAAGCTGCCCAGTAGCCTCCACTGATGTCCAATTCAGGGTCCTCTCCATCGTGTTCCAGCTGCCTCTGTTTCTCACTCTGAGCCCTAAGATCCTGGGGAGAGGGGTTCTCCAGCTAACTCAGGGACCACTGGCCTTTAGCAGAGTCGGGGTGCTGAAAAGTCGTGAGTGGGGATATGGCAGCTTGGGCACCTTCTGCCCAACACAAACACACACCCACGGTGAGGGGTGGGGGAAGCAGATGGCTCCTCGGAGCCTGGGCTTTCGCGGCACCCCCTTCTTACCCTAGCGCAAAGGCGCCAGTGAATAGGAGGTGGCCAGGGTCTGGGAAAGAGAAGGGTTGAGGAGACGGGGAGGGCGATTCGTCCCGCCGCAGTGGCTTCCTGCAGCCCTGTCTTTGGTGAAAGTTATGGGGGTCGACGGATAAGAGATGGAATGGATGGCGTCCGAGGACCCTTCTTTGCACAGAACAGACCGGGGCCCACTGAGGGAAGGGTCTTGTCCAGGGTCCTAACAGCTTGCTGACGGTCGGCATTACAGCCCGGGCCAAGGCAGCGGTGGTGCTGCATCTGCGTGCTGGATCGGAGCAAGTGTCTGGGGAGTGACGCAGGCCCCAACATCCCCCACGGAAAAAGAAAACAAACCTGACCTTTTATTATGGACCCGGACGGGATAAACAAAACAGAACAAAACAAAACAAATCGAGCGATGGAAAAAGCCCCAGAAAGTCTTTTCCCCAGCCCTGGGGGTGGAGGCTTACGGTTGCCCACAGCCCCAAAGCCGGGTTCAGCTCACACCCGGCCAGGTTTTAACCCTGTGGGCGGTGGGGGCTGGGGGGGGGCGCGGTATCAAGCAGGAGCTTTATTTAACCCTTTGGTGGGGAGTGACTGGCTGGGACGGAGACCAGGTTTAAAATCCGGCGGGGGAGAGCGGGGCACAGAGGGAGAGACTCACTCACCAGCTCCAGCCTCAGCGCCGTGACCTTGTCTCCCAGACCGAGGCCGTGGCCGGCTTCTGGCGTCCCTCGGGGAGGCTGCAGCAGCGCGGACACTGGCTCTCCCTCGCCCCGCAAGCTGCGGAGCAGCCCCTCGGGAGTCTTCCGACCCACCTTGCCCTCCACGTCCCGCAGGTCGGGCGCCGAGCCCTCCGGGGTCCCCTCCATGCGGGGGCAGGAGGGGCCCGGGGCGCTTCGCGTCCCCCGCCCCCCACCCCTACGGGGCGGGGCCGCCCGGACTCCTAGTTCCCACCCTCCTGGCTCTTCCCCCAAGCGGAGTGGAGCTTCGGATCGCGGAGCCCAGTCGAGGTCCGGAGCTGAGGGGCGGGGCCTGAGCTAGCTGCTAGGGACGACTCCGACTCCGGAATCCCTCTCTCCTTCGTTCTGCGAGCCGCCGACCTCCGCAGAATCCAGCTGGGAACTGCAAGCCTGGACTAGGTGCGGGGGGTGGGGGCGGACCCGACAGCGCCGTAAATATCAGAGCAGCGCTTAGCCCCCTGCGCAGTTACTTGTGAGGCGGAATGCCGTTTTCCCGCGCTACGTAGATAGCAGACCCGGGTTCTAGTCTCCTGGCCACTGAGGCTTCCTGGCTGGGAAGAATGCCGTCATCTCTTCTCCAGATCTCAGCTTTCTCATCTGTAAAAGATGGTCGGAAGTATGTATGTGCTGATCTTGGAGTCGGGAGACCTGGGTGGAAATTCTGCCTGGGACAGGAGGTGGGACCCTGGACAAGTACCTTGTCATTGTCTTCATAGCAACCCAGGTGATGTTATGTTCTCCATTTTACAGTTGGGGAAACTGAGGCAAACAGTTACATGACTTGTCTAGGGTCACACAGCTAAGTCTGAGGCCAAATCTGAACTGAGTTCTTCCTGACGCCAGGCCCAGCCAGGGCCTTTCATCACTTTCATCATCTACCTGCCTCAATGAAGCTAACAATAATTATTGGGGTACATCCAGCTCACTGGGTTGTCAAGGTGAGGCTCCAAGGAGATAGATAATTGGAGGAGAAAATAGAAAAGGCAAGACATATCTATGTCGATATGAAGGTCTGCACTAGAGAACCGCTAAGGTTTGTTTTAGCTCTAACTTTCTCTGTTCTAAGACCCCTCCCAGCTCTGATATTCCTTGTTCTACAGCCCCAACCAGCTCTGACATTCCCTGTTCTAAGCTCCCTTCCAGCTCTGACCTCGGTTCTCTGTTCCAAGCTCCACCACCTCTGCTATTCTCTTAAATTCCCTTCTCTCCCCATCACCAGTTCTGACATTCTGTTTTCTAAGGGCCATCCTAGATCTGTCTTATATTCTCAGTTCTACCTTCCTATGTTTCTCTCAGTTCTAACGTTCTCTGTTCCGTGTTCTAAAATCCCTTCCAGCTCCCACATTCTCTGTTCTATGCCCCAAGGGTCCAAAAATCTAAGTGGAAGATTCTACAAGTCTCTGATTCCAAGCCTGAGGTTCTAGCATCCTCATTCTGAAGTGCTGAATATCCTAAATTTCTAAGAAACAGATTCTAATGTTTTGAGAATCTGAGTCTAAGATAAGAAAAATCCAAGATTTCCCAGTCTGCCTGGAAACCCCCCTACACACACACACACCCCTCTCCTTCCATGAGCAAGGCTAGAGCCCTTGGGAGACTGAACTTGGTTCCAAGGGGCCTCTGGATGTAAAGAACCCAGAGCACTAATCTCCCTGCCCCCAACCCATTCCCCACTCCCTCCTGTCCCTGTTTTCTCTCCCTAAAAATTAATTGGCCTTGGAAAAGGGAGTAGCTAAGCAACAGCCTAGAGGGGGTGGAGGAGGGAGTGGTGAGTGTGGCAACCTCTTCCTTCCTCCTCCTCCACATCTACAATATTAATACATACTCCCCTGGATTCCTGTATCCTATGCTAGACCTGAGGATATTAACGGGGCTAGGACCCAAACCCTTCCTCCCAAGGCCGTGGGGGATCTAAAAATAATGAGAAAAGTACCACCACCTGACACTTGTATATCCACAGCCTAGCTGGGAGGGGTAAGGAGGGGTGGTGGAGAGGGTACTGGGCTGAGAGTCAGGAAATCTGGAATCTAGTATTATATCTGCCATTGACTACTGTGTGTGTGGCCTAGGCTAAGTCACTTTAGCTCTCTGGGCTATCTTTTAAATAAAAATAAACCTCCTTGACACTGGAGCCAGACTCTGGACTCCAGACACTCCAGCTAAGTGGACCCTGGATAGTTCAGTTCCTCATCACCTCTTGCCCGGACAAATAACAGTAATATTTACAAAGCACTAACATATTTGATTATCTCAGTAGGTCCTCACAATTACCCTATGACTAGGTGCTCATATTATTAGTATCCCTATTTTACAGGTAAGGAAACAGGTTAAGTGACTCATCTAAGGTCACACAGCTGGTATCTGAGGTGAGATTTGAACCCAGGTATTTCTGACTGCAGGTCTATGAACTCTATCCACTACTTTGTGCTGCCTCAGTTGCCTGAGCCTCCCATTTGTTTTCTCTGGCAATGTTCTTACCCCTCTCCAATCCATCCCAGGGCAGACATCATTTTACAAAACTCTCACAGATTACTCAATGCTTGCAAAGGCCTTTCCAAACCCAAAGACAATTTTTAAAAAGTAAGGAAAATCCAGTAAGTCCTCTCCCCCTGGTGTCCTCCCCAAAAGCTTCAGAACCTACGGGTGCTTGGGGCCAACTGGAAGTCACCCCTCAGGTTCTGATGAGAAGCCAAACTGTGTAAAAAGCAACACTTAGGGAGGGCACCAAGGCAAAGTTAAACTAATTCTTAAAAAAAAAAGTTTAAGAATTTTGTAAAATGATGTCTGCTTATTAAAATTGCGTAACCATGGATTTAAATACACACACACACACATATATTTGGTATTCTGTGTTTGACAAATACCAATTAAAATGAACATTCTGTAGACAAAGAAGAAGATTGTATATGAAACAATGAATCCCTGTAACAAATTGGTAGCTTTTTTTTTAATATACATAAGAAATTCCTATCATAGGATCCTACTGATGCTGTCCTCCTTGTCTGGGATGCCCTCCGGACCTCCTCCTGGGCTCTTCTGTGTTTTAACCTGCTCCAATGCCCCCCTATTCTTTCTTTGTTTTTTTTTATTGACATCACTATTGCTCAAGCCCCTCCTTTCCAACCCCTTAGAGAGAGACAGAGGAGGGGGGAGGGAGACAGAGGAAGAGGGAGGGAGACAGAGAGAGAGAGAGAGAGAGAGAGAGAGAGAGAGAGAGAGAG